AAAACATTCTAGAGATACAGTCTCTTCCACAGTACTGTAGAATGCTGGAAGCTCTCCTCTCACCACAAGTTTCCTCACAAAACCCTGACTGCTGTTGAGGAGTCCAGGCCACAGCAGGTCTTTGTTTGAGTCATATAGTTGACATGAGGAGAACTAAGTCAACAGTAGTTTCTCTCCAGTGTCATATTTGTCTCATCTTTATTTATTAATTAAAAATTATATATAGTTAAAGATTATGTATAGATTATTTGTAATGTTATCACTCATGTTTGATTTTGTGAGAAAAGAATATATCAACCTATTAATCAACAAATACTTAAGTGTCAAACAAGAAAATATAATTTCAAATTTCAAGCACAACTCTAAATATCTAATTCTCTATTTCCTTGAAAAATAAAAGCTTTCTTAATTCTATGTTCATCTTTAAATCTATAGTGCAAATTTGCAAAACAATAAATACTGTTTTAAATGGTATCCTTTTTGCCTCCATTTACTCTCAAACACAAGGATTTATGTATGTGCATGCACATATACACAGACACATCAATTACCTGGGTGTATCACTGGTGTATCACCAAAATACACTGGGTGTATTCTGTCTCTCTCTATATATATGTATATACAACATATATGAAATAGACTGTATGTGTTTGGAATTTACATTGGATCGAATTAACCAATGCAATGTGCCTAAATCCCCACAGGGTTTTGTTGACACCACGGATGCTTTGGTTTTCTTCATAATTAAAGGATCATGATGTCACAATGAGAAGGTGAAAGTATCTGAGGAAAGTCTGGTTTCTTCTAGTATCTAGTAGCAGGAAGACATGGATTAGTCTTTCCAAGTCAGATTCTGCAATCCTTGGAGGCCATATTGAAGGCTCCCAACTTGTCTCTTGTTGGCACCTAGCAAACACCAGGACTGAGATGGGATGACTCAAGCAACCCTCTTCAGATCATGGCCCAGCAAAGATACTGACTCTTAAGAATGGAGCTCTATCCAGAGTTCCATACATCAGGGAATGTAAAGTTACAAGCCTCGGAAAGCTTACCAAGGAAGACAAACACATAGACAGAAGGCTCACGTGGCTTCTTAATAAGCAGAAAGTACTAGTTTTCTCTTCCTGATGCCAAACGTGCAAGTATTTGTAAATTTGTCTTGTGTTACAACCATTGGCCAAACCTAGAAGTATAATTTTTATGTATTCTCTATGTTCTTATCAGTTTTAGCAATTCACAGCTGCAAAGTTGTTACTGTAACCCAAGATGGCAATATTAATCACATGGCTACTCTGTAAATCAAATTAGTATTCAGTGACCCTCCCCCCACCTGTCAAGCCAAATGCAAACATCATTAGAGAAAGGGGAGATCTAATTGACTCGGCAATATTTTTATTCCCAATACTCCATGATGAAGCAGTCTGATAACAGGCTTCTGTGATGTGTATTCCCTCCTCCATTTTGATTTACTAAATTTTATGGTGCTGTGTAGCAAGTGAGTCATGTAATAGATGGGACAAGCCATTCTGATATCCACCAGCAATAACAGAGACATTGCTCTAGCTCCTAGGAATGCATCCAGGAGACAGACCTTATCTGTTAGCCTATTTTGGGAGTTACTATCTCCTCACCAATAATAATAGTTAGTGATTGGTTGTTCCAAGTATATTCAAGGGTCAGCTTCTGATCTCTAGACTCAGTTGGAGACAGCTCTAAATGAGCATCCCATTATAACATCCTGCAATGTTATCTGAGACATCTAATGGACCAAACTCAACTTCTCCTTTTGCCTTTCTATCTCACCTTCCTGAAGTGTCCATTCCAAGAGGACTCCTGAAAAGAAGATTCAAACTGTCCTTTTTGGTCCACAGAAGCAAGAAGCAGGGAGTTTTTCCATAACAAAAGGAGCACGTGAAAGCAGTTTGTGGGAATTTTTGTTTTGTTTTTGATCTGGAGCAAAGCAGAACACAACTCACGAGCAATAAACTCGTAAGAACTCAGCTGTAGGTACTTTATGACTCAAGTTTTTGCTTGGCCACAGTGCCAATCAAAAACTGTTTTCTGTCATTATTCTTTCTTCTTCCTTTGCTCTTCTGTATAAATTCCCTTCCCTCCACTTATATCTGTATCCATGATCACACCTTGAGTGGGTGACCTGAGAAATACCACAAGGCTCCTATGGCCTCCCCATAATTCTCCAAAGAAGACACATTTTCCTCTCTGTTATGCAAAGACATTACCAGTGAAACCACGCTTTGAGGGAATTTAATATTGATAAGCTTGAAGCACATTCCTATTGCATGAAGTAAAGGAGAAGAAACTGTGAGAGATGTGCCTGTTTTGCAAGTAGCCTGCCTGTTTTTTTACTTCTTTTCTTTCAGGAAATAATAACTATAGAGCAAAGCAAGCTCAGCTAAAAAGGAAGTAAAAAGAAAACTTATCAGGAAACTTCCAGGAGACTGGAATACACTGCATGTCATCTAGAAGGTCCACGTTTTCTGGCAGGGATGTGAGATGGTATAGAAATAAACACTTCCCAAAGTGGAAAGGGATGTCCAAGACACTGTGTGCCTCAAAAATACCTTGAATTATTAATTTTACCTGCTCTCTGAATTAAAAAACAAACAGACAAATGAAACAAAACAGAACAAAAACAAACTCTTAGCTGTCATATTCCACTGGACTCTTCCTTGCCTGTTGTAACCTTTGGACAATATCTTTTGTATAGGTAACCCATATCTTGGGGTAACATAATCTTTGAGAATTCCCTCTTGCCTTGGCTTCTGGAGTCTAATGCTCTGTTAGCTTCCTTATGCTCCTGAAGTTCAATCTCAGCTCCTTTATTTCTTTCCTGTTCTCATTTTAGCCATTTCCTAACGAAAAGTGGTAAGTTTCTGAATCAGAGAGGATGAAAAGGATGTAAAAGACAAAGACAGCCTGGAGAGGATCTCGACTCACTGGCATTGAGCATATGATTGAGAACAGATCAGAGCAGTCTCTCTCTTGAGTTCACCACTAGTCCCTCCAGTAAGGCAAGATGCCCCTTGTTAGGATCCTACAGCACTCTTTGGGAGATCTCTGCATGACTGTGTTTTCTTTTTTGTTTATCTTATTGCATTATAAAATTCCTTAGCATAGGTCTCGATACCTCCTTGTAGCAAGAAACTGCTGCTGCCTTTTTAAAAAAGATAGATAGTTGCAATGTGCACAGACATTACTGTAGAAAATGCTGCCTCTATCTATGCAGGGACTCTCTAAGATCCCTGCATGTGAAGAAGACCTTCATTTCATGATTTCAGTAACTCTCAATTATAAAGTGAAATACTTCAACTTCTGACATTAGCTTTTACTAATGGCCATTAATGTGCTGGGAAGCAATGTTCAATTTACATGAATATTGACTGAGTCAGGCAAAGCCTGAGAAATAGCATTGTTATATTTTATGACTTTTGATACCTAGCATATCTTGTGGCAAATTGTAGTCAGGAAGTAGTAACAAAGACCCTCAGCTTCAGCACATAAGGAGATAAGAATGTTCCGTTTATCTCCTGCAATGTCTCTACCTCTTCTCTTCCTGTCTACACTGTACTAGTAGGCTACCCTCGACATTTCTCTTTTCTTGTCTATAATCAACAATACCCATGAAACACCATATTCCTAAAGCACATTTATCTTTATTTACATACTGTGTATTTCTCATTGCCACGCAAACAATCAAACTGAATCCAAATAACCTGTAAGTTCCCAGGTACCAGAGGAGTCCCAGTTTTAATCTTGGCATATCCTGCTCTCTACTCTTACCCTCATAGGGCTTTACATAGAAGACTCTCAACAAATGTAAAATTAGCTAGTTTAAATTCAATATTTAAATATTTTGTTGAAAAAGATAAGACATTCTTTTCACTCTAATGATTTCCCCCAATCTGAATATAAATGATGCATGCTACCAACAATTTTTTGCTAATGATAATTTGTACACCAAAAATGTTCCAATTTTATATACGCATTCTTGAACTGCAGCCTGTCTTTTGGAATACTGGTGACATTGTACATAGAGCACTTCAAGAAGAAATGCATATAATCCAAGAACATTGTTAATTTATTTGTGAGAAGTTGAGAGATATCCCTAAAATTGAAGAGACACTGAACAACCATAATTTTATTCTGCCAAGCTCCTTATAGCATGGCAAATCTTGCTCTGTAATGTGGCTTCTCTCTTGTCAATTGTCTAAAACCTAGCTCCCTAGCATGTTGACGAAAGACCACAAATGACAATGCTATTGTGGTGTCACAGGCTTTTCTGTGGCTAACACCAGCCAGCTATAGCTGCAGACTGACAGCCCCTTTCGATGAACTTCCAGCCCCAAACCAGGAAGTACTGCCTAAAATGAAGCCAAGGCAAAAGCAATCCAACCTCAGAAACATAGGCTCCAGAAAAGGAGATAACTTTAAAATCTGTGATTTTCTGCTGATTTGGATTAGAGCAGGCAGGCTCCTGCTCTTAAACCTTTAGTAAACTTACAGAATTGCCTACATAAATAATCAAATACAGGACATAACACACGCGTACACACACACACACACACACACATATACGCAAACATTGAGAGACTAATTTGTTTTCAAGATCCTTTTTCTTATCTATAGTTCAGAGTTAGGCTAGATCTGAATTAGTGACAGATTGCAGAAAAGTGTCTAATTCTTCAAATTCTTAGGAAAAGGGGTCTAGGCCACGCCCCAGTCCCGCTCTCTGGTGGCACAATCTCTAGATTGGTCTGGACAAATCCACTCGGTAACTGCAACCTCCAGCTTCCCCTATTTGTGATCCACTGAGAACCCTGAAGTTCTGGGGAGGGCCTTGTGTACAAACCCTGATCGGACAGAATTGAATTGCAGCTCTGGGTTGCTGACAAGTTGGGCCCTCTGCAGTGAGCGGCGGGCAGGAAGGGGAGGGCCCAACCGGGCGAGGGGGAGCTGGGGGCCGACTCTGGGCTGGGTCGGAAAAGCTGCCTCACTGCGCTGTCCCGCTCCTCCCGCCCCGAGCTCCGGCTGGGGCCTCCGGTACAATTCTGCTGCGCTTTCCGGAGGCTGCGCCCGCAGCAGCTTCACCAAAATATGTCCCAGCCCGGCCCGAAGCCCACCGCCTCTCCCAGGACCCGGCGCGGCGCCGCAGCTCGCCACACCCAGGAGGTGAGTAAACTCCAGACTGAGCCGCAGGGCAAACCGCAAAGGGCCCAAATCCAGGAGTGTCCCGCCGCAGTCCTGGGGCGTTGCCCTTCCTTGCACCTTCCAGAGTGGGAAAGGGTTCGGAGCTCCGTGCCTGCGGGGGACGCAGGTGGCCCGAGGCTCTCCGAATTGGGTGTTGGCACGAGTTGGGTGGAGGGGCTTCTGGAGCAACTCCGAATAGAGAGACCGAGTCAGTGCGCATGGGCATGGAGGCAGACTAAACCTGACTCAGGACCTCCGGAGTGGGCTCCTATGGCTGGGCAGAGGGGCTCTGCCCACCGTGTGAAGTCACCCCCCTCCAAGTAGGGAGTGGCCGCAGAAGAACTGACACACACCTCTTTCCTAATTAGCCTTGGGCCAAATCGGACGGGGGCGGGACCACGGTAGCTGTGGGCGGGCCCTGTCGTTCTTTCCCCTTGTGCCCTCCCACCTGGCAACTGTGTCCAGTGCTTTGTCAGCCAGGTCCCAGCCAGGCAGAAAGTCATCGTGGTGGCACCAGCAGCTCACTCTGCGTCCTCGACAGGTTCCCAGCGGCGCGGCTTCGAGCTAGTCAGGGTTGTCACCATGGCATTCGCAAGTTGGTGGTACAAAACGGTAAATAAAAGGGACAGAGTCTGGGTAGGATTGGGAAGGGAGTGTATTTACCTTGCCCCTCTAGGAGGTGGAAGATATACGTTCTGAAGTTGGAGGGTTAAGGGCAGGGACCTGGTGAGACCTCCTTGCAGACCTGGTTAAGATCCGGCAGAAGCAGAAGGCTCTCCCTTCAGTGGTATGCGGATGGGACGCGCACTGGGCAGTACAATCTGGGCGGCAAGGTGCACCAAGCTCAGCTAGCTCGCGTTCCCAAATTGAATGGAAAGTCCTTAATTCTGCCCTTTGGAATACATACCTGAATAGGGAGACAAGAGGCATTGTAGCATAGGTTTAGTTTTTCAACTGCTAAGTAAAGATAAAAACTTACAAAGAAAAGAATGGTGAAGAAGTTTCAAACTCGAAAGAGAAGGGTGGAGAACGGAAAAGAACATCAGAGAACAACTATCAGTTTTGGTTTTTTGGGGGGTTGGATGGCGAGAGAGAGAAATGAGTATATTTCACTACTCTATATTACTTTGCAAGAGGACAAACGTGTTCCATTTGGTTAGTGCACTGAACGTCTGTCCTACCAAGTATGTGTTATACCCAGTCAAGCTGGAACTTGTAATGTTTTGAAACCAGGAAGCATGGTTTTAACATTATATTTTTTAAAAACAACAAAAACAAACAAGAGTTCACAAATCCTTTGTTGACAGAGAGTCATAAATTGATTTATGGTGAGAATTTCAAAATCTTAGGTTCACCTTTCTCTCAGTAGGTGGTATGGAAAAAGTAACAATACAGTAACCCGATAATCTTTGTATCTGTAAAATAGCAAGTAAGGACTAGATTCAGCAGTAGACATGCCACATATGCGTTTTCAGTGATGTTTCTTTATGAATGTTCTCCTTTACACTTTTCAGTGCTATTTAAATGTATAATTTTATTTATTTTTAATATACTTTATTGGTTATTTTATTTATTTACATTTCAAATGTTATCTTCCTTCTCCGTTTCCCCTCGGAAAACTCCCTATCCCATCCCTCTTTTCCCTTGCTTCTATGAAGGTGCTCCTCCACCCACCCACCCAGTCCTGCCTCACTGCCCTAACATTCCCCTACACTGGGGCATCTAGCATCCACAGGACCAAGGACCTCCCTCCTAATAAGGCCAGACAAGTCCATCCTCTGCTTCATATACAACTGGAGCCACGAATCCCTCAGGGAGCTCTGGGGGTCTGGTTGGTTGATATTGTTGTCCTTCCTATATATATAGTTTTATTAATGTGCTAAGGGCAGATGTTTGCTCTGAGTCATGATTGTCTCAGAATTCTTATCAAAATACACCCATTAAATTATCTGCAAACATGGATGGCAGGTGTTCAAATAACATCAGATTTCTCTGTCCAAGCTTGGCATTGCCTAAAGGAAATTGTGCCAGGCTACTTAGATGAAGATAGCTTAAACCTTTGCTTTTAGTACCTACTGCACCATGTTAGACACTTTGATGTTTCTGCTAAAGTACCCATTACAAGCCAGTTTGGGAATTATTATTTAAGACTTCTGCTTGATGCTAACTTTCTAGAATTTTCAGCATGCCTGTGATCAAGATTTGACCTTTCTCCGAGAGAAGTGTACTTGAGACTCAAGAGGGCTTTAAGATATTTTAACAGTTGTGTTAACAAAAATATTTTAAGAAATTAAGTTAATGTTAATAGCATTTTTTGTTAACTGGCTCTATCCTAGGTGACATTTAAGCATACAATCATGTACTAAAAATGACAAATCATCTCTTCTTTGTGTTAGTTACTCAACAATCTGGCTGTGATGTATGTGTTATACTCACAGTACCTCCCAATTCACACGTTCCACATTTCAGAGCTTTCACTTGCCACTGTGGCTAGTGGAATAGCATCAGGTAGGAAAGCTCTAAGGGGCTTGTTCCTAACCTTCTTTTGTTTTGTTTGTTTGTTTGTGTTTTTTTACAGCTTATCTATAAGTGATCACAGATCATTTTGAGAATGAAATGTAGTACTTTCTCTCAAAAATATACTATATAATTTGACTCTTCAAGGCATGCAAAGTCTGTACAAATCTCTCTCCAATGGTTTGCACAGCCAATTTTTAACACAAAGATACATATACATGCATATGTTCTCTATATTCTGTGCATATATAAAATATGTGTACATATTTTCATATGTGCAATGTATATATGAGTAATTTTGTTTGTTTATGTGCCTATGAATAAAGGCTTGCAGTTGAACCCTTTTATCACATATTAAGCCACCAATCAAAAATGACTTTTAAAAATTGACTCTCCACTAAACATGTATCAATTACTTTTGTCATTATTCCCCAAATGGTATACTATAAAACTGTTAATATGCCTTAATATTGTGTATCATACAGCACACAGGGAGACAGTGAATAGATGAGATGCAAACATGCAAGCCATTTGAACATCTGCAGGATTTGATTTTGCAAAAGGTTTCTGAAGCCAATTTCCAAAAGATACCAATGGATTTCTGTCCTTGCAGAATACTTATAATGAATACTATAATTAGAATATCGTTAGTAGGATTCTTTAAATACTAAAAATAGTTTGAATGATCTAACTTTATACAGAATAAAAGTAGAGTAATGTGAAGATATGTCCTTTAAGAGCATGCTACCTGGAAAGCCAAACAAGGAAACATAATATTGTACATTTTCACATTGACTACCATCAGCATCTGAATATTTTTGATTGTAGTAAAAACTGATTTCATAAAATCTTAAAAAGCTACATTTAATGAATATCTGATGAGAATCATAATTTTCAGAACTTACTATAGTTGGCTTGCATAAGTAATCACGTACTAAGCCACCTGAGTCATATGTTGATTCTATTATCCTGTGATAATTAAAGGTGTTCCTTAGTTTAATTAGGTTCATAGCCCCAGTGAGAGCATAATCAAGGTACTCAATCATTTTGAAGGCTCCACCATTGCAGCTAGGCTGGGCAAAGTGTTGCAGACTTCCCATGACAAAACAGACAATTTAGTTGCAATGGATTTGAGTGGGTGAAAGGCAAAATTATAAGGTCTGCACAAAGGCTATAGTATTTAAGGCAGTAAGAATGAAGAGGTCAAATGCCACAATTTTTTGTTTGGCAGTCCCTGAATGGAACATTTTCCATTGCATAAAAACCTTTTAAACTGAGTAACATACAGTGCTATTATTCTTTATTCAGTTTTAAAACTTCTCAGAAGGTTAATTATATTATTCAAGTGGTTTTCAAAAAACGATATGGCTCTCTGGGTTGGAATCAGAGGGTTATCATTTGAGAGTCCCAGGTGGACAGACAACTGGTAATTAGTCCTAAGCAGGCTATTTCAGCACCAGCATGAGTCTCAGTCAGACTTGCTTTTCCCCACCTTGGAATATTTTTAAGATCTAAATCTTATTAGCATGATAGTAAAGTTCTGTTCTTCAAGTTGTTTCATTTTTCTTTTATGAAAACTTTTTAAGAAAAACTATGACTACTATAAATTGGAAAAGAGTCTCATCAGTTAAGAAAAATTTTAAAAAACTATTCCATCCAGTGAAGAATCTTGGTTTTATAAGTTACCACTTCAGATGCAAAACCAGTTAATTCAGGCTGTGTGTGTGTGTGTGTGTGTGTGTGTGTGTGTGTGTGTGTTTGTTTGGGAGGGGCAGGATCAGAATGCCATGGTGTGCATGTGGAAAACAGAGAAACCAGTTCTCCCCTACCTGCCATGTGGGTTCTAGGAGTCAAACTCAGCTGTCAGGCTTGGTTGGCACCTACTGAGCACTGTCCAGATTCTCTTACAATATTTATTTTGTTCCCACGACTTCTAGTGGACTGATTTTTTTTTTGCATGGTTAATAAACCCTATAACCCGTAGTAGCCTTTTCTGTGAGTTTTTAACTCTGACTAGAACAGCTATGATTTTACCTTTGGGTGACTCTGTGGGGGTAAACACTCTTGAGAAAACAGTCACTTAAAGTTTTCAAAACATTTTTGTAGTAAAACTTTCCATAAGAGCAGAAGATAAAGGCATAATTAACACGCACAAATCAAGTGGCATCATTAATGACCAATATTGTGTCAGTCTATCTCCAGATCCTACTTCCACACAAAGGATTTAAATGGTTGTGAATTGCCAGTTAAGTTACACATATAGCCAAGTTGTAGGTTGTTCAAAAGAATGGATTTTCATTCTACTTGTGGTTTTCCCCTCTCTGGTATAATCTGGAGTGAGACAATCACAGTGATGTGATAGAACACTAAACAAACTCTTTGAGGGCAACAAAACTTTTGATTAGAAAATTAAACTTTCATATCTACACTCAGTTCTCATTCATTCCATGAGACTGATATCAAAG